CCCCAAAACCCCAAAACCCCAAAACCCCAAAACCCCAAAACCCCAAAAAAGTATTTGAAATTGACATATAATTTTGAATTTCAATATGAAAGAATCCTGAGGCTGATTTATATTCATAGTCCTCTTCTTCGTTCTCACAAGTGCTCGAGAAACCAAGCTCCTTGTAGACTTACAAGAACATGGGGCTACTGCACCTCGATATACTGAGAACTCTGCATATAAGGTGACAAGCAATAATTATGAAGAGTTTCCAGGAGAACTAACAGACCAAGGAATCCTCCAGATGGAGAAAATAGGTAAAGACCTGAGGAAAGGATATATTGAGGATAATCAGTTTCTTCCAAACGAGTTCAAACCTCAAAATTTTTACCTGAAGGCATATAGAGACGAGCCTAGTGTTCTAAGTTCGTACTCATCAATGCTAGGAGCTTATCCAAACTCCATAAATTGGATTCAGTACCAGCACATGCAAGGGTACTCACAAGCTCCGTTTGATAGAGATGATGAAGAGAAAGTGAGAAATAATTTAGGACTTGGCACTAATCCTAGTAAACTCACCACACGGGAGGCAACCATCTGGTCAGAAGCAAATGGCAGAACATTCTTTAACGATCCAGTTTCAAACTGTCCTCAAATGCAAAAACAGATGGAACAGAATCTCGAAGCTGCTAATAAAAAATATACTGAAAACAGAAGGTTTGATGCATTATATGAGGAAATGGGAGAAACTTTTGATGTTAATAAAAATGACATTAACTTCAAAACCGCTCATCTCTACCTCGATGATTACATTACTTCCCAAGCCAACCAAAAACCAGTCCCAGAATTTGATGAGCAAGTCGTTGCTGACCAATGGATCCAAAATTATTATAGAAGATATTACTACGAAGGGCTCTACGGTGATGATAATGACCTCGCCAAAGTAGCTTCAAACCATTACTTCAACTATGTGCTCACTTCTATGTATGCCAAATATAAGACAGATAAGGGGGAGATAAATAGCGACCATTATGAGAACCTCAAATACGCCCAATTTACAGGAAATGAGAATGCAATGATAGCAGCAATCAAGGTTCTCAACGAAAAGAATGCTGACCCAGCGATGCCTCCCAAATTCGGATCCACCATCAGATATGAGCTGTTTAAAGACGGAGATAAATATTTTGTCAAAGGGACACTTGATGGAAAGCCCCTCAACATGAATGGAGATGAAGATGGCGTAATGCCATATGAAGACTTCATGAACCTTGTATATAACAGATTATACTTCGGGGACGTTGATAAATATTGTCAAGGTACAGAGCCTCTTCATGGTAAAGATAAACCAATCCTTAGTAGTTATGAAGAACATATATGGAACACTAACCCAGAGCTAAGAATTAATCAGCAACTAGAAAATAGAGGAAATACTAAATTTGTAGAACAATCTTTTGTTGAACTAAAACAGACTCCAACTTCAGAACCAAAACCAAAACCTGAACCAGAGCCAAAGGTTGAGCAAGTAGTAGAAGAATATACTGTTTATGAACCCTATATTCCTGCTCAACAAGCTCCTACCCAAACTTATCAGCCCCAGGTGACTCCAATCACCCAGCAGAGACTGTACAGCACATCAAGTCAACCTCAGAGGCAATACACCATAGAATCTCGTGGGCCCACAACTTATAGTTATCCTCCAAAAGTAAGCTCCAATCTGTATTAGCAAGCATATTAGTGAACCTAATGGATCTCAATTATCAAAACTCGGATATCCCTCCAATTCAGACTAATTTTCATTCTGTAGTATATATTTTCTTTTTCTCAAGACTACTTTTCAGAGTGTGTTCACTATACCCTTATCCAACATGCCCTTCCATCCTTGATCTGAGTAGGATTATCTTTAGTTTGTATTGGAACAGAATTCAAATAAAAGGACTTAGAGATATTTCTAACCTCGGAAATGGCCCAATTTTCAGAATTTCAAAGACATTTTCCTGTATCTAACGAATTCTTTAAGTTTCATAATTATTTATTTAATGTTTTTCATAGACTACATCTCCTTACTATCTTCTAACTCAACATTATAGCAATACTCAAAGCCAGCAAGTTCCCAAACTTATGTAACGAGAATGCCTCAGACTACCTCTCAATACGTCGTTGCGCAGCCTTCAGACAACGTCGAGTTTTCAAACTTAGTTGAGACCTCTGCTACTCAATACAACGAACCTCCTAAAAGAGAGTTTCCAAAGGTTTACGACCCGCATACGACTCGAGAGAACAAAGTAGATATTCCCTTCCTTCACCCAGTTGAAGTAGACCAGCTTGTACATGACACTAAGGTCATCAAGGTTCCCCAGAAGGTAGTTAAAGAGAAAATAGTCAAGGTTCCTCAGCCTTACTATAAGGAGCAGGTTGTCAAAGTACCCGAAAAGCCTACCAATATTCACCATATCGATCTTTCCTCAGAAGAAGTAGGTCCTAGTGTCAGTTTCGCCCAACAAGAGCCTGCTAAATCAAATTCTTGGCCTTGGTGGTGGTGGCTACCTCTATTGTTCCTCTGTTGCTGTTTACCACTGCTATGCTGCCTCCTCTGGTATTTCTGCTGTAGAAAAACAACTGCGCCTCCTCCAAAGAAAATTCCTAGAGCTCCTTCTTACAGAGCTGAACCAAAACCAATTGTAAAGGAAGAGACCGATATTGACAGACAGAAAAAGTATACTTACAGTAAGAGGAAAGTTGATCAGGAACAAGAAATTGAAAACGAGATTGAAAGAGAACTCAGAGTCTCCCGTAGCAGACGAACATTAGCAGCTCAAGAGAAACGAGACAGACCTGTTGTCCAACATGAAACAAGGTATATAGAGCGTCCAAGAATCATAAAGGAAGAAAATATTGGATTCTCTAACAAGCATGCTACCTACGACGTTGTTGAAAAAGATGATCGTCAGTACAAAAACTTTGATGACTCATATTATGTGCAACAGAGACCATCAAGAGTTGAAAGAGTGGTAGAAAGAACCTACAAAACAGGAGTTGTAGACCCAAACGATAGAAGGAGATCAGCCAGCCGAGGAAGAAGCACCTATGTAAACGAAAGATATAGAGCTGATGGGCTTGGCTCTCCTCCTCGCACTGGAAGCATGGGGTATGTCAGTAGAGAACTGCCAAGAGAAACCGTCAAAGAGGTTATCACTCATCAACAGCATTATGAAGGAAGCCCAAGAGTTGTAGGAACCACTGGTGGAGAAGAAAGATACGCAAGAGAGATTATTCATGAAGGTGATGAAGTTTACAGGCCTGAGCAAAGACGCCTCAGTCAGGAAAGAAGTAGAGGTAGAGGAACTTCAGGAGAACACAGAGTAATTAGCAGAGATATTGATGACGAAGAAAGAAGGATTAATAGAAGGAATGACCAACTCCAAGCATCTCCTCGCTCTTATACGTCTAATACTCATCTTAGGAGGGATAACGCTAATGACAGGGATATGAATTTACAAAGAAATAAGGACTATAGGAAGAATAGAAACTTCGACAATTTTGATAGCGAGGAAGATGAAAGCGTCTAAAGATTTTAATTAGAACTCAATTAACAGCATCAGCAATGGGGTTTTGGGGTTTTGGGGTTTTGGGGTTTTGGGGTTTTGGGGTTTTGGGG